GTTTGTTTGTTTGTTTGTTTGTTTGTTTGTTTGTTTGTTTGTTTGTTTGTTTGTTTGTTTGTTTGTTTGTTCGTTCGTTCGTTCGTCTGTTCGTTCGTTCGTTCGTTCGTTCGTTCGTTCGTTCGTTCGTTCGTTCGTTCGTTCATTCGTTCGTTCGTTCGTTCGTTCGTTTGTTTGTTTGTTTGTTTGTTCTTTCACTACACACGTCATAATAGTCTGTACACTATAAGAAAAGGGTTGAAGGCCAAATTAAATAATTGAACAAATCTATTAATAATTATGGAATCTTAATTTAATTAGATTCCATAATTATTAAGAGATTTGTACATTATTAGATTAGTACTCGTAGATTTATTAGATTTGGAATTAATAACTGTAGTAATGAATAGATTTAGAATTAATTATTATCTAACTTTTATGGAAAAAAAGAATAAAGGTTTTTGAAGGAGAAGGAAAAAAAGTTTTGAAAAATGTTTTTAAAAAATATTCACAGATATAAAAAAATAGTTTAAAAAATAGTTTAAAAAATAAAATAAGGAAAAAATATAATCTCGTCATCAGCAGATTATATCAGAAAAAATAGTACTTTTTAATATTGTATTAATATATCCAAAACAAAATATATCTATACAATAATGTGAGGAGCACCAAACAAAATTGAAACGAAAAGAGAATTTATTAAGCAAAAAATGTAAAATAAAACAATAAAACGAAGAAAAAAGCATCCAAGAAAAATACAGAATAAAACTCAAAATGTCATATATAAAGTGAGTAGTGAATTCAAATGTACTTACACGAACAAGCATTTTTCCAAAATGATTTAATAAAATTTCAATAATATTTAAATTATCAGTAATAATATGTTTATGGTTTTCATCAATAAAGAGTTTTGTTATATTTAGAGCTTTTAATTTTGTTAAAATCTTTTAATGCAAAAAATATATTTCTTAATTTTCAAAAATATTATAAAATTTAAGTAAATCAAAAATTACAGTTTTGACAGTTAATGACAAAATATAAGTCACCTAAATTTTTCTTTTTATTTGGTGAAATTTCACTCATTTCAGTTTTCATAAGATCGAAACAGAGAATTTTGAAATGTAACCTTGATTTGACGTTTTGATTGGTGCGCTTATCTTTAATGTGAAAAAGTGAGTAAGTTGAGAAGCTATTAAAGTTAGTCTGTGAATGTTAGAAGGTATCGTTTAGCCCATATAGCAAAACTCTTTTGTATAAAAGCATGCAATAGCTTTCTTTTTGTAGTCTTAAATTTATGTCTTCTACTAAATCGAAAATACGAGAGCTGTTTTTTAAGAAAGGGCAGTTAACCAAACGAGAGAAAATTTTCATGAAGCAAATTTATCTTTTGATTCTACATACGTTTCTCTTTTTTTTTTTTTTCAAAATAGTTGACAAGTTTACTTAAACACTTATCATACCTTACAATTAGATTTAGAATTTTCTCTTCATAGTAACTTGTCGCCTTCTCCGATAACCAAGTGGTCACGACCGTTTTCACGTTTTAGTCATTGTTGTACTGGTTGCCACCAAAATGATGTTTGAAAAATCGGAAAAGATGAAAATTACTTAGCGCAAGGTCTGGCCTGGATTGAGGGGTGGTCCTAAACTTCCCAGCTAAACTTTCCAGTCCAATGAAACTGAGCTGTGGAGAGAGTCATCGTCATGGAGTAGCAAAATTTCTTGTCAACAAGCCAGTAGGAAGCTTCGTTAATATCACAAATGAATGTCTGCAGGTTTTTTGCCAATTAAGGACACATCTCTGACCGTACCTCATACGCGGCGGGCGATCTAAACTCGGACATTCTAAAGAACTGACTGTAAAGGTTACCGACCCAGCTGTAACAGAAGCACAGTTGTTCCCCAGGAAGGCCGGGACACTCGTGGCGATGCACGCGTCACCTATTAGTGTACACAACGAAACGGCTCTTACTTAAATGACAGTAATCGTGATACTGTTAAAAATCTGTACTATAAAATGATTCAATTCTAGACTATTGCTAATTTTATATTTGAAAGATGTCGCTTCATTCTAAGAGAATTGCAACATACTTCATATTACAAAAACCGCTGGTTAACATGTAAATAACATCATTAATTGACAAAACGTTTACAGCCATTTTGAATTATTTGATTCTTGTAAATATTAGGACATTTTCAGTTTAAAGAAAAGCTTTTATGAAAATATCTCTTCTTACACATTTTTCAGTTTGCTCTGTTTTCTTTTGGCAAATTCTTTTTTTTATTCACTTTCTACCAGAATTAGAAGGATGCAAGACTTCCAAGTTTAACCCCCAACTGGATGACATTTGGAAACACTACAAGGTATGCCAGGACAATATCTACATGTATTTTAAAAATCATTCACAGTCAGAAACTTCATTAAAATAAAACTATTTTTCATCTGTAATATTGCCTTATTAAAGCAAATTAGTTTTAATTCATATTGTTAGTTATTATTTGTATAATATTCGCAGTTCATCTCTTCAATTTTTGAAGAAAAAAAATATTTTAATAACATCTGTTAGTTTTAAATAAATCTCTTAAGCATATTTCATTTTTTGAACCATTTCTACATTAACAATTTTGCTACAAGCCGAATAAAATTGGAGAAAATAAATATCTGCATCCTCACTATAAAGTTGCTTTCAACTTCTGTAACATCTAATTGTATCTGTGGATTTCGGTATTTTATTCACAGCTAGGCAATTTCTAAGGGAGGATGATAATAGCAATCACAAAAAAGGTAAAGAAATGGAAAAATTAACATAAATGCGAAATACGGTAAGAAGTGTAATGCTTATACAAATTTTGGGCTGTCAAACTGTTTTGTCACATGACAGCGCTGATAAGAATTAGACGCGTATTGAGCGTTGTTGTTAAAAATCAAAATGTTTTTTTTATTTTTTTATTTCTAATGGCAGATTATAGACAGTAACAGCATACATAAACATCGAATAAAAATAAGAACAGAAACAAAAGATGCTGCAACAGAGTCTATTAATCACAACATGTCTCTAGCTTCCCAATAGCGTTCAGTGATAGAATTCTTGAAAAGTGCAGAGCAGCGGAGAAGTCCATGTCCTCACCAGAACTGCAAAGGGTGCATACCGGGGAAGGAACGATACCATATCTAGACAGATGTTTCCGCAGACAGAATCAAAATTTAAAAGGAAACAACCAATTGACGAACTTGCAATTTTCGATGTGTCATCCCGACTTCATTTAGATGTGGCCGTATTATAGGCAAAATTGAAGAAGGTTGAAAAATACTAGATGTTACCAAAGATTTCGACGTCAGCCGCAGTATTGTTTTAAGGCTTTGGAAATCATTTCAAACAACTGGAATGTGAAGCAGACGTCCCGGGGGTGTCGTGTTCCATGTACGATGCCTGCAGAAGACAGGCACATAGTGCTATCTGCAAAAAAGAAACGGCGCGGTACAGTCAGTTAGGTAGCAAATCAGCTTCAAGCTGCTACTGGCAAGCGAATCTCCCAAAAAACTGTAGCCAGACGGTTGCAAGCAGGAGGATTACACGCCCACCGGCCTGTTGTGTGCGTACCATTGTCCAGACGTTACCATTGCCCCCGTTTGTAATGGTGTCTTCAGCATCGCAATTAGAGCGAAGAGAACTAGACTTACGTTCTATTTTCAGGTGATAGTAGATGATCTGAAGTGAGATTGGTACTGCGTATAGTCGAGTAAACATACATAAAAGGTATCCAACATGAAGTATCATGGTATGAGCTGGCATTATGATTAATGACCCCTCTATGCGCTTCCAACTGGGACTATGATTGGCCAACGCTAGATGAATGATATTCTACTGCCTATTGTTCGTTTGTTTCGAGGTGCTGTCGATGATAAATTTGTTTTCATGGACAACAACGCAACATGTCACATCGAACAGTCGCTGGTCGAAAAGCGCGTACAGAGCGAGAATATTCAACGCCTCGTATGGCCAGCAGGTTCATAAATTAAAATGACCTTTTCAGCATGACAAATTCCAGCATTGTGCTTGTATTCTTGCGGTCTATAGAGCGGACAGTATAGTATTTTTTCTCACAAGTTCAACAGTTAATAATTCTAGAACTAATTATTTAGTTTTTTTTTATTCCATCGTAATCCTTGTATACTTTTTTACATATCTTAGCAATTTCAAGTTTCTAAGTCTGAGAGTTTCAGCGCAACAGATCAAAATGTAACGCAAAGTTGAACAACCAAAACCAATCAACGAAGAGGGCCTTAATATAGAGAGAACATCTGAAACATTCATGAATATGTTATTAATTTTAACTTTATATAAATGATACCTAATAATTTTTGATTTATAATCTTAACTTTTTTTATTAAAGGAAAGTTCCATAATTAAAACTTTGATAACTTCTGATGATTTTATTATAAAAAAAAAAGTTACCTTTCATAATTTTAAATCCCACCCTCCCTCTCCCGAGAGGACGGTAACTTGCTTTCAGGAAAAAAAAACCTTATTAGTACTACACGAACTATATTTAAGTTGAAAGAATATTTTCATAATTCCCGAGAGAGAAGTGCGTTTGATGTACGAAAATCGATCAGCTATTTCTTTTTAAATTCTTCCTTTGATTTTTATTCATTTTACGAGCGTCATATTTGAAAGAAGGTGTTATGAGTTTATTTAAAAATAAAGAATATGCTGCGTCTCCAAACACTTGAATTTACAATTTTGTACTTATAAATTGAATACATAAAAAGTTTGATGTGATGTATTTATAATTATGAAGCTAATAAAATTACCCTAAATGTGACATCCTATAGGCTATGTTGATGGGCACTCTGTTAGCGAAGTCGGTAGAGGCGCAGCTCACATCTCTGTTGGAGAGCCAGGGATTGTGAGTTCGATCCAAGACTCCAATTAAATAACCGTGGCTTGAGCCGTGGTGGCTCAGGGGATGGTGTGCTCGCCTTCCAGTGAGGTCGAATCGCAGCGATCGCTGGTCGTATGGCTGACGTAAAATATCCTCAGTGGTTGACGGATCGTGGGTTAGAGCCTCCTTGCCATCAAGTGAACTGTGGGAGATTTACGCGGTTTTCCTCGCCATGTAACGCAACTGCGGGTTAGTTCCATCGAAAAGTCCTCCACGAAGGCACATTTCTCCCCATACCTGATCCAGGAGTTCTCTTGTCTTCTGGATTGGGTTGAAAATGACAAGATTACGGAGTTTAACATTAATAGTCGTGAACCCAAAAATTAGGTCAGCTGTTCAACGACCGTCATTTAATAGAATAAAAAATGTGGCATGCATGCGCAGCAACGTGCGCGTAAGATGATCTATAATGGCTGTAAGTCCCCTCGTTGGTTGTGGTGCGAAAGTTTGGAGAGAGAAGTACAAGATCAGGTCGGTCCTATGCGAATGGTCTGTCCGAGATCGAAATTACGTGATATTCCTATCATATGGCTGTTTAAAGATAGAGACATGGAAAGGCTGTGTGCGACACCGATTGATTTTAGCGTTGCCTGTGTTAAAGCGATTCTAGAAAAGTTCACAAAATCTTAATTCTAAACAAACTTTTCTATTTGTAAACATTTCTTTTTCGATATGCGTGTTAATTTACATGTCTTTTTTAATGAACTGCACATTTAATTGTTTTTGTTCATTACTTTTTTACAGAAATTGTATTTGAAACATTACAAAGACAAAGCCGAAGACGATCTCCGAAGAGGAAACTTGGAAAAAGTAGTCAACGAGATATCGCATCATAACTTATTAGCAGATTTAGGAATGACTAAATTTACCAGAGGCCTCAATAAATACTCTGACTTGGTAAATATTCTTTTAAATCCCTCATTTTTACTTTTTGCCATTAATCTTTCCATCATTCCGTCCATCATCACTTCAAAATCGATTTCTTTTTTTTAATACTTATTTTCATTTCCCCTTATGTTTTTAATTTCTTCTCGACTTCTTACTTTTTCTAACGAACTTGGTCCTTCACGTTATCTCTCTCTCTCTCTCTCTCTCTCTCTCTCTCTCTCTCTCTCTCTCTCTCTCNTATATATATTCCTCCATTATTCTTTTCCTCCCTCCACTATCCATCTTCTCTTCCCTCAAGTTTGTTTCTTTGCTTCCCTTCATACCCCTTCACTATCCTTTTTCCTGCCTTACTTCCCGCTTTTTCTAATTAACTTTTACTATCTTGTTTACTTTATTCATGCATTCAATTATTCTGACATTCTTCCACATTTCTATTTACTCCTCCTTCATTCTTTCGATCCATCTTCTCTTCTTTCTAATTCGTTTCCTTGCTTTTTTCTTTTTTTTTCTTTAATCTCCCTCATATATTTTTCACTCCTTTCTTACTTCCTGCTTTTTCTAATGCACTCTTTCTATCTTCCTTACTTTATTCATCCATTTATTTGTTATCTCTACCGCCATCCATTCGTTTCATTCAAATTTTCAAAACATTATTAAATGTAATATTAAAAATAAATATATAACATAACATATAAAAATATAAATATATACATATATATATATAAAAATATATATATAATCATAAATATATAAAAATATACAAATATATAAAAATATATATAATCATAAATATATAAATAAAAATTAATATATGACATAAAAATTTTATTAAATATATAGTGTGATTGGCGAATCTTGGGGAAGCAATTTTAAAAAGATAAAAGTGTTTATTACAGTGATTTCTAGATTTTTTTTTGTTCAACTATAAATACCTACTGTCTCATTAAGCAATTTTGGACAATTCGGTTAAGGATTTTAAGTAATCTATGTACGAGTTCACGTCCTGGAGGCTGTCTCAGTAAGCATGAATTGTATTCTATTAATAAAATTTAAAAAAAAAACTTTATGGCAATAGTATAAAGATTTTATTCATTTTCAAAAATTTCAAAATGTGCTGTTAGGCGGCGCATCGTTGGTGCGATGGGTTAAATTCTCGTCTTCCACTGTTTAGGCAGGGGGTTCGATTCCTTCAATTCCCCGTGCTTAAGGTTAAAAATCTTATCGTATTGTATTTTCTCCGATCAAGCGTTAGTAGAACCACTAATGCAATGCCCTGGTTTCAAAGCCGGTAAAGTAGAAGCAAGTGGGGAAGATTGGGTAGTGTGGTGCGGAGATCGGATTAAAATTACCAGCCTCTGCCTTCCGATTAAAACTGGAGTAACATAAGGCATACATCAGTATCTACTTCGGATCTTATTAAGGATGAACCAAACCGTCACCAATAGCTCTAAATAAGGCTAGTGGCCTATATTAACAGATGTTCCCCCCCCCCAAAAAAAAGAAACAGATTGAATTTGAAATGTATGCTTCACTCCATTCGAATAGGAAACTTGAAACTTTATAATCTTTGCTTTTGTCACCTTGTTTTCTGGCTACCTCAGAAGAACGCAACAGACCTTTTATCTCTTTTTCCTTTAATTGAATTTTTAAATCATCGGTCATTTTGTGTTACAATCAATCACTATTTATTGTGATCTATCGATTGGGTTTACTTTTTTTAGACCAAAGAAGAGTTCCAGAAATATTTAACTGGTTACAGACCAGAAAATGATACAAAACAGCATAAAACACATCAGAGGTCAAAGCGATCTGATACATCGTTGCCAAAAACTATTGATTGGGTAAAAAAGGGAGCTGTCACATCTGTACCGGATCAGGTAAGCGTAAATGTTTCGATTTAATACCGAACTCAATCTGTCATTTCTTGCCTTTGTCTGTAATGTGGCCTCTAATAAGCACAGTTCTATAGGGAAATGCAGGGATAGTTTTATAGGACGACAATTATAGCCATTTTGATTGTTAAAACCATTTGCACTCAATGTTGCCAGATAATTGTTCCTAGATGGCGCTTCAGTTGTACGACAGCAAAAGTTTTAGGAATCATACCCACTGCATGCCATTCACGCTCTTGCAATTGCTGTGTCGAGGGTACTCCGAACCTGATGAGTGAGTTTTTTCTTTCTCAGGAGAATATCTTTCACTCATCAGGTTCTCATTCTCCCTCGGCAGTGATAGGATATACATAGATATCATAACAATTATTTTTACTTAATATATTTTTGTTTTCGATAAAAAATTTTAAGAAAATAATCGTGTTTAATTTTTTAATAACTGTTGCATCTCAAAAAAAATATTAAACCTGCTTTTTTATCAATAAGATCAGTAAGGGCATCTTCGGATAATTATATTTTGTTTCTTTCAGTTCTTCATGGAGTATTCTTTTAACTTCATTCTAATCGACGAGGGGAACAAAGAGGACCACCTTTTCATAAAACGCAACGAAGCGATATTATATGAAATAATCATATGAAATATTCAATTTTACATAAAGGGTTTAAACTAGAGTAGTATACTAATCATTTACGAGGTCAACTTAGAAAAATAATTTTCTTTTTTCTTTTACTTTTTTTCTACTAATAACGTTTTATTTCATTTTTTTTTGTTTTTTTTTTTTGTTTAAAAATAGTTTTAACATAATTTTATTTTACTTGTTGCATTAGGTTATTGATATTTAAATTACAGTAATCATATAGTGTTTAAAAAAATAATGTCAATAAATAGTACTCATAATAATCAAATATATGAATTTTCGTTCATTAACTTCACATTTTGTTACTTAACTTGTTTTAAAAACAAATTCGAATTGTAGTTATCGTGAAAAAATTTAAAACAAAAAATCATTTGGCATCTTGCACAGATTGCTAACATTAAAAACGGTTTTAAAATTAATCTACCAAAAAGCATTCTGCGTTAACATTCGAAAAGATTTCTCAATCTTTTTTAAATTTAGAGCCCTGTTATCCCTATTTTATCATTTTTTTTTAGAAAATGGGCGTTGGGAATTGACGACCCACGCTTGTTTTTTATTGAATATAGTTTTGATGAGAATTTATGCTTCGATTTTGTTCAATAAATTATACGAAATTCTGTAAACACTTCATTGGATTTTTTTTTCCTTTTCACTTTCAATTATAACTTTTTAATTATTATATCTTACCTTATATGAACTGGCTGTTCATGCATCATTTCATCGTTATTTTCATGCATTCAAATCAAGTTAATTTTATATTATCTGATAATTTCTGTTGAAAATTGTATTCAAACATCCGTTTTTGTCGTAATTCGGTGATTTGGCAACTAACTCAGTAAATTACGATAAAGCTGCTATTTCTGGTCCTATTTAAATGCAATTTAAAACAATAATTATTCAAAAATTTTAAATTACCGTAATTCAGAAAAATTAATGTAGTAGTTAAAATGCGCATGAAAAGTCATTCGGTAATAAGGAAGACCCATTTAACGAAGTACCGCCCCTGTTTATAATATTTCTCAATGTAAATAATAATAGTTTCTAAAATACAACAGATGGCTCTCCTCGCAGTAATGTGAAAGGATTAATTGTATCCAGTTTCCCCTATGGCACTGTACCATGAACATCATTCCTTGTTTTTGTTATTAAATATATTATGTTAAAGGCGTTTGTAATGATTTAAAACCCCGCGATCATCGTATTTTAACAACCCCTTTGACTCTAAAATCACAGTTCTTATATCACTCATAATATAATTTCATTCATCTTCATTAGGGTCATTGTGCCAGTTGCTGGGCTTTCGTTGCTCTGGGATCTCTAGAGGCTCAACAATATTTCAAAACTGGAACTCTCAAAAGTCTCAGCGTTCAAAATATCATTGACTGTGCTACAGAAAAGGGTAAGAAGAGATCATTTACAGTCATGTTCAAAATGAATTCAAAATCAGAAGGGGAAAAAATTCATTTAGGACGCTCTTAAATGACTCGCATTATCAAAGATTTTTAATTTTTGATTAAAGAGAAATGTATCGCCATAATATTCGTTTTTTAAAAAAATTTAACGATATTTTTTCTAAGTTAAGTCATCGACACAGAATATCCTCTTCATTCAAAACCCATATTTTCTTCTAAAACAAATGCCTGAGTTTAGAAAAATGCCTGTAATTTACAGTTCAGAATCGCTTACAACGCTATCTGAAGGTAAGCTCCTTTCTCGAAAATGATGCGAAATAAGGGGGGAAATTATTGTCGATCGAAATGAACTACAGATGGCGCTAAACGGAACTCTCTGCCTATGGCAACATTTCGTATGGTTTCACCATGAGCGTGTAGTCATAGGAGAATGAAGTACGTTAGTTTCTGTCTCAATTTTCAAACAGATTAAAACTTTTTAATTTTCGATGCTGTATGGAACTCAAAACTGCATTAAACATAGTTCTAAAAGAAAGCTTAGAGGAAAATTTAGAATATATTTTTGAGAGTTAAATATGAAAAATATTATGGAAAGAGAAAGTTTTGAAGTACATTCGTATACAACGGAGCAGAGAAAAAGAGAGAAATGTCAAGATATAGAACTGGTCTTCTATATTCAAGTCTTGCGATCACGAATATTGCTTGAGTACGAACGTCCATCTAGCAAACATTGATGCTAAGGGAAAAAATGCTTAAAGCGTGTTCGCTTTTTTGTGATTTTCTATATTGTGAATCTTTAAAAACAAACCATTTTTGGTTGTTTAATATTTAGAATGATATTAAGGAGAAAACGAAATAATCGCATTATTAAATTTTGAACAAATAAAGTAGCCAATATAACCGATAGCACTCAAAATATAGCAATTCATTCATTCTAATATTTTTAATTCACGATAAACACTTCGATCTGTTTAAAAACGTAACATTTTAAAATCTTATGAGTGGCGATATCGAAAGAAAATTTAATCCGTTACTGTTGTTACTAATGCCACTGTCCAATGCCAGCCCTCTTGCTTGAAATAAAACGAAATTATAAGGCAGGGAGTGCGTTTCTTGCTTTTTTAATGACCAAGAATATGATTTCAGCCACACACACGTAACAGCCCGTTTTACAAGGTGGACTCAATCCTACTACATTCATTCATCCACAAATCGTAATTTCGACTTGAACCACTAAACGATCTATCTCCAATTCAGTATTCCAGAAGTATTCATTTGTTATGGAAACTTCAGGGCTTTATGAACCCGAAAGACTTTGCGATTTGAACTCCCGTTCTCCCGAACAAGAGCCCAACGTCCTACCGAGTAGGCTATCCCAGTCAGTGGCGTAGTGAGGGGTGGGCAAGGGGGGTCATCATGCCCCGGGCGCTACTCACAAAGGGGCGCCAAATGGTCCGCAAAACAAAAAATTGCTGTATAATTTTTATTTTTATTATAATTGGTTTCTGGAAAATATATTTTAATTTTAGTGCCAGTGTAATATAATAAATGTTAATTCATAAATAAAAAGGAACACTAATAGTCTAATTCAAAGTGTAATAATATATTCATAATAGAAATGGCACGTCTTGTCTACTGGCAGGGCTGACTCGACCTGTGTCCGACAAGCACTTGCTTATGGCATCAACGCTGTGTGGTTACAGAAATTATCTCCTTTCTTGATTTGTCTGATGAAACAATATGTTATAAAAAATATTTGAAGTTTACAAAGTACAAACATTCTTTCTTTCAGAACAATATTTATTTTTATTTCCATAAACGCAATGTAGCTTACGCTTGTTAAAACGATAACAATAACACTCTAATGTACTTATATGTACACGGAAAAAAGTAGCCGGAAAATAACAACTAAAGGATCGAAAGGAGACACACTACAAATACAGCGTTTTGCCGTTTCTAGGAAAGAACGCAAACGCCGTATTTGTTGTGTGCCTGAGAAATATCTATATTAAAAAAATAAATGATTCCTTATTTGTTACCTTCCGGATACTTTTTTCCATGACTGTACGTATCTTTGATACTTACGACAGGTTGTGGAAGTCTGCAACAAATTAGGGAAATACTCGAAATATTAACGTTTAAGTTATTTCGCGCATTCAAGGCATTCTTGGTAAGTAATGAAACAAATAATGAAGTCATGTTAAAAAACTAGCACTTCAAGTTGGTACAAAAGTTGGAAACCTATTATCTTTACTTAAACTTGTAGCTCAGTTTGATCCGCTATTAGCAAATCATCTTTAACATGCCACAGAAACTCCAAAAACTGTCTCATATTTGTCAACACAGATCCAAAATGAATTCATTCATCTTCTGGCATCTACAGTTCGAAATCAACTAATAAACGATATCAAAAGAAATAAATATTATGGACTTTAGTTTGATTCAACTCCTGATATCTCTCATCGAGAACAAATGTCCCAAGTCGTTAGGTATGTAGATGTTGATTTTATCAATAAAAAAGTTTCCATCAAAGAATCTTTTTTGAGTTTTATTGAAATACATGCTAAAGATGCAGCCTCGATCGAAAATACAATTTTAGAGAAATTAAATTACGATGAAATTTCATTAACAAACTGCAGATCACAATGTTGCGATAATGCTGCCGTGATGGCAGGTCACACATCTGAAACGCGATGGAGCGCCAGAATACAAGCGGTTATCGTTATCATCTATGGGCTAGAGAATATAAAAGAACTAATAGAAAAATTAGCAGAGCACACTACCACTACAAGTGACAACAGAAGTGAAGCTACAATTCTGTTGCAAAATATACTAACCTTTAGTTTTATAACTTTAGTTCATTTCTGGTATGAAATCTTAAGAAGGATTGATCGTGTGCAGCTCAGATTACAAGATCCTAGAATGAATTTTAGAGAAGTGTTCCATGATCTTGAATCATTAGCGACTGAACTAGCCGAAATTTGAGACAAGCTCTGTAAAGAGGCAATAGAAAAAGCAGAGTCTCTTTGTGAAAAATGGGATATGGATACAACAATACGTGCCTGGAGAATTGGCTATGGTGGTCTTTCCGCAGAAAGTGAAATTTCTCGCGTTATGAAAAGCACTCTTGATCGTCTCCAACAAGAAATGTGTACACGATTAAGTGACCTTAATTTCAAATTTGGATTTCTACTAGACGTTGAAAATTTATTAAACAAGGATAATGTTGATAACGACCTTGAAAAAAAATTTTAAAAATCTGGGTGAATTTTATAATACAGATTTCAATGTAATAGAACTTTTTATCAAAATATGTGACAGCAAAATGTTACTCCGCAGTAGAAAAGAAATTAAACCTAAAACTCCATTAGAATTTCTTACTTTTATAATCAATCTCGAATGGAGAAGATGTTTTTCCAAATCTGAGAGCGGCATTTCAAATACTCCTGACTATCTCAGTATCAATTGCTAGCTGCGAACGTTCATTCAGCAAATTAAAATTAATTTTGACAGATCGCCTAAGTGACCTAGCATTTTTAAGTGTGGAAAGAGAAAAATTTTAAATGATCAATTTTGATGATATTATTGATACATTTGCTTCATCAAAAGCACGGAAAATTTAGACATAGTAATTAGTTTTATTAATGTATTATAATCATATGATTATTAAATATATGTATCTCCTTAGAGATAATAAATATTTACTTTTTTATTGTTTTAAAACTCCGTGTTTTTAAAATATTTCTTTATAAATATGTAAAATAAATAATAGGTATCTTTTGAACTAATTCTAGATGATCATATACAATTCAGAATCTAGTCTTGTTTTCTCAACTGCATTTTTTGTCTCAAATTTAAAGTCTAGCTTGAGCCAAGACTTTATTTATTTTACATTATTTATTTAATAATTCGGGAGTATATTTTACATATAATACTATATGGTTTTCGAATGGGGGGAGGGGGCGCTAAAAAGGTATTGTGCCCCGGGCGCGAGTTAAGCTCGCTACGCCACTGATCCCAGTACCTAAATTTAATTAAAATCATACTAATGAAACTCCCTACGTTAAACGAGCCGGTTCAGCCTCGAAAATCCAATCCAATATCACTGGATAAATACGCTGGAAGTTTTTTAAGGTCCGTTTCGGTTCTAGGTTGTTGTTGTTGTTAATTTACGTCGCACTAGAGCTGCACAATGGGCTATTGGCGACGGTCTGGGAAACATCCCGAGGATGATCCGAAGACAAGGCATCACAATTTTGATCCTCTGCGGAGGGGATGGCACCCCCGCTTCGGTAGCCCGACGACCTGCGCGCGAAGTCGAGCACTTTACGGTAGCACAGTTTAACGAGGACCCATACCGCCCAACCTCGGTCCCTACGCAGACTGATCCAAGTGGTCACCCACCCGCACACTGACCGCAGCCAGTGATGCTTGACTTCGGTGATCTTCTGGGAACCGTGTCTTAACGATCAGTCCACTGCGGGACGTTTTGGTTCTACGAAATTTGTTGTTTGTATTAAGTTAATCGTCCATGGCTGCAGGCCACTCGAAATTAAAGGGACTGTTCACGCTTCTTGCAAAAAAGGTTGCTGAGGTGATTTTGAAGATGCGAATGAAATCACAATTGCTGACACGAAATCATGGTTTTTGTTTGCCACTCTGAATCCACATGAGTGATTTTATCACATGCAGTGAGAATGGACCAACGGACTCCAGTCGGATCCCAACAACACATAAAACTGTACCAATTTTTATAATGGATCACATACAGGGTGAGTAAATGCAGTGTTTTAAAATTTGGAGGGAAAATAGGGTGCATCATAATGATTTATAATTGCATAGAAACCCATGGCCATAAACGTCATTGTAAGCCACTAAAGGTGATCTCCTATTATGGAGTGTTTGTTCATGTGTATCTAATATTATTTTACTAAATTATCTTAATTTTGGTTTTTTTTAATAAAAATTACATAGAAATAGGCTTAAAATAGCTCTTATATCGTAGTTTAATAATTTTGAGGCCAATTTGATGAATAGTTTAAGTTGGAGAACTTGATAAAATTAAGTCATCTTAGAATTAAGTTGACCATCTTACTTCTAAGCCTATTTAAATGCAGTTTTCGACAATAATTACTTTAAAACATAAAACTAAGACAAGTATTTCATATAAATAAAAGTTCAAAGGCGCTTCTTAAACAATAAGTTTATTGCCTCTAGCGGCAAACAATGACATTTCTGGATTGCTTAGCCATTCTGAACCTCTGCTCCAAAGCTTGTTGTTGACTTGGAGTGCTGTATCGAATACTCCTGTTTAACATGCTTGCTTTAATATGCTATTCCATACATTTACATTTTAACAGATTATTTATGTCATTATTTTTAACTAACTCAAAACAGTTTTCGGTACATTGTTTCAAAAAATACATAGCCGAATCGATTGATAAAATTTTTACAATTCCGGTTAATTAAAAAAAAAAAACTGGTAAAATCAAAAAGTGTAAGAATATTGCCTAAAAAAATATAAAAATAACTATTTTTGAAATTTTGAAATAAAAGTTTCTAAAACTGTTTTCTAATACATATTTAGGTGATGGTTGTGATGCAGGATTAATGATTACAGCGTATAAATATGCAGAGAAAAATGGCGTCGATACACGTCATGCTTATCCTTATAAAGAAAAGGTAAATATTTAATAGAGGTTCACTTGAAAAAGCAAATCATTGTTAAAAACGTAGCATTTAAGTCAATTTTCTTCAAATTTACAATTGTAAAGTGCGCAAAATAAAAAACGGACCATGCGGAATAACTTTTGATCTACTGATCTGATATTCACGTTCTGGTTCGAAGAGGTGACCTCAAATATTCTAATTAACTAGTGCTGACGTTATTTTAAGTTACGATATCAGACACAAAAAGGTACGGATTTTTTCGATGGATTCGGATTTCTGACACCCAAAATATAGTTCGTAGCCACAATCTAGGAAATATTTTCTCCTCCCCTACGGTTAATTTTACTTTTTGCGAATTTCGAAATATCTCGAGAACTTTCTAAGCGAATTGAAAACTTTTTGCCCGAAATTATAAAATTCTTTTGTACGAAGATAAATTGCATGCAAAAATCAAATTTTTGCAAGTATTTAGTAATTTTATATAGTAATAATCAGAAAAAAAAATTATAAAACTTTTTGCATTCTATTAAAGTTTATAATTTTACACGTCAAAATACAAAATTTGAGCTACAGCGGTCAAATAGTTACTAAAATATCAAATTTTTAAAAAGTCGTATATTTAAAATTCAATTTCATAGGAACCATCCAACCAATTCAGTCAAATTTTGTATTTTGCCATTTAAAATTATGTACTTTAAAATTGTGCACAAAAAAATGTATACCTTACAATAATTTGTTATACAAAATAATAAACAATGATAAATATTTACCAAAATTTATTTTTTGCGTGAAATTACATTTGCACAGACGGATTTTATAATTGTGTGCAAAAATTTTCCAATTCGATTAAAAAGTTCTCGAGATATAGTGAAATACGCCAAAAATCAAATGACCATTAAGGGGTCCAAATTTTTTACCCTTCTCCTGAGCAAACTAATTGGAACCCTATTACCCAGATATCTCTCACAATATGGGTATCAGAAATCCGAATTCATCGAAATAAAGATATGTTTATTCAGAAAAAGTACGTTTTTGTGTCTGATTCCGTAACTTAAAGTATCGTCTGCACTTATTAATTAGCATATAAGTCACCTCCTCGAACCATTGAGATTGAGTCCTAGAACGCGAAGATCCGATCATTAGATCAAAAGTTATTAAGGGTGGTCCGTTTGTTTTTTTGCGCACTGTATAATTTAGAAATTCTACGCAGTTAAAAAAAAGAAAACAAAGATTTTTTTTTGCTTTACAGTGAAAGTTACAATTTAAAATAGTAGACAGATGTAAAATTTATAACAAAATCACTGTTTTGAACATACACAAGACTAATATAATCTTCACAAAGCGCTGTCAATATTACAGCAAACGCTGTCGATATCACACTATGCTATTTTTGACATCATGTAGCACACTGCGAATAGAACAATATATTGGAGTAATTTCTCACTGTACATTGTCTCGCATTGTTAGCATCTTACTTATAGTGAAACTTACGTCAGCTTGTGGAAATATTGGGAAGATCCCGGAAATTTACGTCAGTTTCCGTACGCTCTCGTACGAAAGATTTCAAGTTATTACGCATGCGCACTTTTAGTACGCATGCGTCAATTCTGATAAGATGCGCCTGCTCCAGGAAAAAATATCATACTTATGTAAGAGACAATAAGATATTTTGCAAAAATCAGTAAGTTGAAAAAAACTAACACAGTGGAATATCATTTTAACTTTCAAAATTATATAATCAAAAATAATCACAAAATCAAAACAAACATTTACAATAGATGTAGATTATTTTTTTGGCATACGAATCGTGCTTTGCTTTGCAGAAAACTGTGAATCTGTGAGCAGAAAAATTTGGTAGATTAGAGACTTTGATGAATTCCGCCATAAAGTCTTATTATTATTATTATTATTATTATTATTACTTTTCTTATTATTATTATTCTTTTTCTTATTCTTTTTATTATTAATCTTCTTCCTATTCTTCTTTTTATACTTCTTTTTATACTTCTTCTTATTCTTCTTATTTTTCTTCTTATTCTTCTTTTTATTATTATTATTATTATTTAACTATAAGTGAAAATAAATATAATTTATAATTTTGAAATATCGAAAATATATCGAGTTTCTTGTGGAACGTAAGACAATCAAACAATCATAGAGTTGAACAAATACCAGTAAAAATATTTTTTATTGAATGAATCAACGGTTGAAAGATCACACGATTCATTTCTGAATCACATCATCACATTTTTTCAAAATCGCATTCCTTGTCCATATTTTTAGTTCGAAGGTAGGTTTAAATAGAAAACAAAATTTAACAGCTATAAACGGCATGATTGTAGTCTTTGTAGCTTAAATCACACATAACATAAAGATAAAAAGCATCTGAAATAAAAGAGAGCAGTTACTTCGATTTTACGTGCGAAAATTAACGTAGAAGTGCGAAATCTCCCAATTTACTTCTTTGTTCAAAACAGTAACTTTGTAAATCTTTCAACTACTGTTGACTACCACGGTGACAGCAAGTTTTTCTATAAAATACACTCTATAACAAAAAAATCGACGCACCAAGAAGGAATTGTCCGATTGAAACGAAAATTGGTGGATAAGAAGACAATGTTACAGAATAGTAAATGATTAAAATTTCAGAACAACTGAATAATTTATTGCAGAGTTACAGTTCAATAAGGTGTTGACCCACCTCTAGCCTGGATACAAGCTGCCACACGGCGTAGCATAGACCGATAAAGCTCCCGGATGGTCTCTTACGGTATTTCACGCCAAATTCGATCCAATTGTCGAACGAGGTCATCAACATTCCGTGCCAGATGTAATCGCCTTCCCATCATATCGCAGACATGCTCGATGGGAGAGAGATCTGGTGATCTGGCTGGCTAAGGAAGAGTTTGACAAGTTTTCAGACAGTTCATAGCAACACGTGCCATATGTGATCTGGCATTGTCCTGCTGAAAAATCAGCCCAGGGCGCTGCAGAAGGAACGGTAGCAAAACAGGTCTTAGGATGTCGTCGACGTACCGCTGTGCAGTAAGTATACCTCTAATGATGACCAAAGGGGTCCGGCTGTCAAAGGAAAAGGCACCCCAGACCATAATGCCTTGTTGAGGGTCGGTGTGGTCGTGCAATAGTGAAGGCAGAATCCCCCCTCTGCGTATCCAAACACGTCTTCGATGATCGTCAGGACACAGTTGGACGTCGCTAAAGACTATACGTCCCCAGTCTGCATCATTCCAGCCATATCTGTTCAAAACATTCATGCATACGAAATTTCAAAGCAATCGGATGATTGCTTCTTGGTGCGTCGATTTTTTTGTTATAGAGTGTATTTAGGATTGTTTTGCAGTGTGAATATTATCGGCAAAGTTTAAAATACATCATTCTATAGAATGCCAAATGAGAAACCGGCAAAGTATGAATCTCCCATTCGTTTCAATTGTAATAAAATGTATTTCAAAATGCCATGAATGCAAAAGTTGTATTTAAAAATATACATGAATCCGTCCGTCTGATAAGCAAAACTATTAAATGACAGTTGTGAACTCACCAATTTTGTTATACTTTTAATTGTATTTCAAAGAATGATTGCTTAGAAAAATGATTTATGTTCACTTCATAAGGAAAATATTTGGATGTGGGAGGCACAAGTGATCTTTCATAGTTACATAAATAGTATAGTATAGTACATAGCTGTATAATTTCTCCAGTTTTATGTCAAGAAACAGCAATTATTGCGAAGGAATCATCGAGGTGAGTGAGTGACAGCAAACAGGGGGCTTAGACCTCTAGTTATACAGGGTGATTCTAAAAAGATGGGCAAAATTTTAGGAAGTGATAGTACACACCCAAGCAAACAATTTTTATCATAGAATGTATGGTCGAAAACAAAACACGAAACCGTTATAGGGCGCCAAAAGTTACATTCTTATATGAGGCAAAAACACACAAAGAACGATGAAATTAACTTATAAAAGTAAATTTAATGACATGTGACTACAATAAGTGGCCAGCAATTACAATGGCCCGCATTGGCTATGCATGCAGTACAACGACAACGAAAAGATTGGCGAACATTCTGAAATACACCAGTCATATCGCGAATTTCCCCTGCAGCGGTCGAAAGCTTGGCGACAAGTTCTTCTGCAGATTCATTGTGTGTCTCATACATAAGAGCATTCAGCGGTCTCCATGAAAAGAAATCAATACATGAAAGATCTGGCGAGCACGGTGGCCAAGATATAGGACCACCTCGCCCAGTCCACTGGTTTGGAAAGGTTACGTCCAGATAGCTTCGCACTTCTCGTACATAATGAGATGGTGCTGCGTTCTGTTGGAACCAAATGCATAGACAAAATGCATATTGGCTTTTTCCTTATTAGAGAAGGGCAACATCTTCAGATGCGTTACTACCGGGATTAACAATGCACTCTCGAATCAGCAGCTTTTATGTATGAATCGTGACGAAAATTTGCATACGAGCCCTTCTTCTTCCCATAACATGCAAATAATAACTCTCATCGCAGTAACTTGCAACAGGAATGGAGCTTTCAAGTTTGCATGAAACAACTTTCCAAATGCGAGAGCACCTTTGCGTTTTGTTTTCGACCATGCATTCTTTGATAAAAATTGTTTGATTGTGTGCCTGCTATCACTTTCTAAAATTTTGCCCATCTTTTTAGAATCACCCTGTATATACAACTATAGTGAACTTTGATATTGTATATGTAAATACAGATATTCAAAATAGTTGATAAGAGTAAAAACAGTGCCAGGTGTATAATTCCGTTAAAAAAAATTACTTTATTCATAGTTCGCTTGTTTTGATTGATAATGTCCACCCTTCATAAATCAATTAAATATTCCTCCTTGGTCTGAGAGTAATATTAAATTTAGGGGAAAAACACAAAAATGCTATTGAAACTTCACTAAACACTACCTGAGCAACATTAAATTCTGTTTAAATACAGGAGAAAACAGAGCAGTTAAATGGCGATTCATTAGAAACAGCAACGAGCTTCATCGGGTAGTCAAACTGTTTTTGATGTTACCATCTTGTTTTTCTCACTAATGTTGCTAAATCTAAATAACGTTAAGTCACCAGGAAGAACAACGAATAACATTAAATAAAATAAAAAAATATTTTAGTTTGTGTCAGGTCAGTTTCTTTGGTTTATGCTCTGTTTAATCTTATAACGTAAAATCTCCGAGAGATGTTTTGCATCAAAAAATAATAAATAGAAAAAATAGTAATGTTTTATCTTTATTAATTTTATTAAAATATGCATTTCTGTTTAATGCATTACTTTTTAGTATTAGTACCGATTTGTTATTTACTTTTTTTACGCTGCACGTAGGGTATTTAGCTAGCAATATATTAAAATTATGAATCTTGGAACTAAGGTTGGAAGCATGGAAATTGAAGTTTATTATTCCTTACATATTTAAAAGAAAAAAAAACTTATTTGCTCTTACTCCTTCATTAAAAAGAAAAATAAGTAAATGATAATTATTATAATTTCTCTATCTTAGTAAAATATTTCTCTCCATCTTTTTTTAAACTAATAGACTTTCTTGTTTTGAATTCAATTTTAGGCTTTTGATGAATTTCATATTCAAAAAATTATATTTAAAAAAAAAAAACTTTTATTTTTTTTTTTAAAAAAAAAAGAATAATAATTCTCCATTATAGTCTAGAATTTTTCTTTTCTTTTCTAAATTTCCCTTTTGTTTTCTTAAGTGTTTGAATGCTTTCTACTTTCATAATTTCTTATTCTTACCTTAAAAATTTCGACGTTGTTTTCAGCTTCATTTTCTTATTCTCTGTATAAGCCATTTATTCTTGTTGTAATTTTATGTCTTTTACTTATGTTTTATGAATGTTTTGTCTGTAGAATGTTTGTTCTACTCTCGCCTGCCCTGAATAGGGCGGGACGAGGTATAAATAAACAATTCCTTACATATTTATCAAGAATTGTCCTTCATTGAAGTCATCAAAGAAATTTAGATAAGGTATCCGTCCTATTAACGAATTTAATTGGTAATTCCAAAAAAATTAATTAATTGGTAGCGAAAAGAAGGATAGCTCATATAATAACGATATCTCAAAAAAATCGATAAGTTTTCGCTGTAAAAAAATAATTCTCGTTGCTATCTTAAAACTCAATATGCATTATTTATATGCATTATTTCGTTTTTTTTTTAAATTTATAAAATAAGTTTTGCATAAACGAACAGTTGTGGCCCCTGGCTGGTAGGGGGTTGAGCCCATGTCGGAAAGATCGTGAGTTTGATCCCCTCACGCCGAACACTCCACGTGTTCAAAAGGGTCATGAGTGCCAGCTAAATCAGTCGGGGTCACAAAGTTCCCATAACAAATCAATACCTCTGAGAGTACTGAATTGGAATTGTTGAGTCAATGGTGTGTAAATGTGTCCTCATTGTAATGTTGTCTCCGGATCCTCTTCAGGGATACTTCCCGTGCAGCTCTAGTAAAGAATCTAGAAAGAAGCCCAGTTCTTAGAATACGCAACAAATGAGGTGAACTGCTCAGTTCGGTATGAAATACCAGAAAAAAAACTTACAGTTTGAGCAACATACTCAAATTGAACAGAGTATCCTATTTACAAAGATCCAGCTTATCAGAAGAAAAGTGACTGTCTGGAGGTGCGTCATCTGTCTGGCGATTCTACATGTATGGTTGGGCTCTTTCTTTGTCAAAATATGTTAGCAGATCTAATCAACATAAATTATATTTATGTATTTTCAAAAGAATATATTTATTACAGTACCGTTTATCAATAGTGTAAAATACAGAACAAACCAATGATAAATAAAAAGAGAAACATTTTGTTCTTCTCTCCAAGTGGGCTTGGGAGGACAGAAGGGTTCAAGAACTTCTGCCCGTAAATGTTACTTCTTCTTTTATACGCATGGACCACACCCAAACTTTATAGGAAGCTAGCCTCCTTCCCTTGTGTTTATTCTTTGGCTTTAATGCGATGTAAATAAAAGTACCGTACCGTATAAACGGACCCATAAATAAATTGGTGAAACGGGAAATATAGATTTTTTTTCAATCTTAATCAACGTTACTAGCTGAAAAATGAAGGGGGAATAAACTATTTTCTTGAAGTTTTCTGAATCCATTGCAGAGTAATTGTTATTTTCAGGAAGGGAAGTGTATGTTTGATGATTCAAAAGTGGGGGCTACTTGTTCTGGATATAAAATCCTGCCCAAGGGAGATGTGGAAGAACTGAAAAAGACGGTGGCAACTATTGGTCCTGTAGCAGCGGCATTCAACGGACACTTGGACAGTTTTCATGACTACAAGTAAGGATTTTAATTTAAAGAAGACATACAATCTCTGTTCAAAGGCTGAAGTAAAGGGAAGCAAATGAGTTAATGTGGTTACATTTTTACTATGTTAACAATTTTTTTAAAAAAAATAGTTTATAACTTATTTTTAAAAACTAAAGAATACAGGTTTAATACTCATATTTTGAGAGTCAAAAATATAGTGTGAAAGATAATAAAATTACATTTTTTCCGAGAAGTACGCTTCTGTGTATAATTTTGTAAATTAAAATATTTTCTGCACTAATTAATTATGTAATATATTTTTTTGACCGCCGACCCAATTTCTTGGGTTTACGACAACTAATGTTCAACTCCTTAGCCTTGTAATTTTGAACACTAACCAAGAGGACAAGGGAATTAACTCCAGAATCAAGTACAGGGAGAAATTTGCCTTTTTGGATGACTTATGGATGGAAGTGATCCGCATTTGCGTTACATGGAGAGGAAAACCACGAAATCCTTCCACGGTTATCCTAGTGGCAAAGGGACTTTAACCCATGACCCGTCTACCACTAAGAATATTTTACGTCAGTACTGCGGTCGGTGCGACCCGGGTACTGAATTCGAATCGACCAGGAATTCGAACCTGGGTCACCTCATTGTTAGGCGAGCGCTCCATTCCGTGAGCCGGCAGGATTACAGATTTTTGTTTTATTTTATAACTGTCGTTGAAACAGTAAACCCAATGTTTTGTGCTTACGACTACTATGGTTATAATTTTTTCTACTCGTTGTAATTTTTAACCCAACCGAGAAGAAAAGGAACTTCTGGATAAAGTAATGGGAGATTTTTGCCTTCGTGAGGACTCGCATTTGCGTTGCATGGAGAAGAAAATCGTGAAAACCTGACAGCAAGAAGAATCTAATCTACCAGGATATTTTACGCCAGCATTGTAATCAATGCAACCCGGATGCGGAATTCGTATCTACCAGCCATCGTTGGGATTCGAACCCGGTTGACCTCATTGGCAGGCGAGCGATCTTCCCCCTGAGCCATCACGACTCATTGAGATTATTTGTAGCTCAATGCGCGAAAATCCAATCAATAAATCAAAAATAATTTGTTTGCTTTTTTTTTCTTTTGCGGTTAAATAGAATAAGAGCGTGCAAAGTTCTGAAGACAAGTCATAAAAGAAGAATGTGATTTCTTTTGTGATTACAGAAGGGGAATCTACGACGATAAAGATTGTAAGAGCGACGACTTGAATCACGCAGTTCTCGTAGTTGGTTATGGAACTGAAGACGATACAGACTACTGGCTCATAAGGAATAGGTAATGATTAGGGTTTTTTTTTCTTTCTTTCTTTAAAGAGATACCTGCAAGTGACGTATAATCTCGATTCTGACGGGTTGTTGAAACGTGGCTTTTGTTTACGTTAGCAACTGCTCTTTCCATTCTATTTCAAGAAAGCCCAGCCCGTCAAGTATTCATTCTCTTAAGTGACACATTCTAAATTCTTTTACGAAGATTATTTCTCAAAGATTTCAATTCTTTCACTATGCATTGACACAGATACTTCACACAAGAACAGGCACGAAGCCATGTGGAACATAAACTAATTCTAAATCGAAGTTGCCAGGTACGCAAAACAAAAATGCATCCCAGTTGCAGTAAAATACATAAACAAATAATAAATCTAAGTTAAGTAAAAGATGTAGACAAGAAAGTATTTTATTTCAACTCATTCGATACGGTTCTGTACTTAATTAACTTATCGTTCATCAACATTGTAATTTATGTAGAAAAACTTTGCTCAACTTTAATTCGCTATTTTAAGATGAACTGACGCTGACGTCATAGGTCACATGTGTGAGCTCTTCTTCTTCTTCTTGAGGTGCAAGTACCCTGTTAACAAGTTTAAATATTGGGCTATAGAAAGTTTAAAAAATTAGGCTTATTTTTTATTTAATTACTATCCAACATGGATCTTATAGTATAGTTCGTTCACCAGGAGTTGGCACTTGGCTTGGCCTTCGTCACGTGGTATCCGACGATACTATTTTGCTATTTTTAGGAGTAGGATGTAAACGATCCGGAACAAGGTTGCTTTTGGAGATCGTATGTCAAAAATATTAATTTTTCAATTTTTATGTGCATTTTTTGACATTAAATATTTCATAAATTTAATGATATTTCTTTCTTTTGAGTGAATAGGTTGTCCTTTTCGAGACATTTTGCTGCAATGTATTTAATTAGCTGTAGTAACGAAAGTAATAGCAGATGATCAAGCGAAGTAAGTGACTTAAAAAGAATGCACTGTTTACGTTTGGCGAGCAGTAAGGGTTGTCTCAATTTCAAGCGCGGGGACGTTTCTCCCTATACTCCCTGTCCTTAAATGAACTCTTCGTCCAAGTGCCAACTCCTGATGTACGAACTATACTTAAAATTTTTCACGCTCCAAAAATATTACGTAAAAAGAGGATCTGCTGAGCACATAACTGAAATTTTCAATCGCATCCAGAAATTTGAATATATAAAATGATTCAAAATGATACATCCTAATAACTTTTAGGCAGTATCATTCGTTCACTAAATATTAATATCATAACAGAGAGTAGCTCACGAGAAAAATTGTAGCATCATTGGACGAAAAAGTGGGGAAAAGATAAACCTTTTGGATGCTCTATATGTATTATTACAGAGGCAATGGACAACTAGTCATCTTTTTATGACGTAGTGAATTATTCGAGTTTATACTCAAAACGTAAATATTCGCCAAAACTACGTCCCAAATCTTAAATAGTAATTTTGGAGCGTGCTTCTCCTCCTCGATAACTTAAGATTACGCAAAGGAGAAGTTCGCTTCTAATAATTTGTTTGCATTTTATATTTTGAAGTATTTTTTACAGCAATTGACACTTTATGACAGATTTGTCTGAGCTTATTTTTTCTTTCCTTTAAATCTTAAATTAGTAATGAAGGAGAATTTTCTTCTGCTGTCCTCTTTTTGTAGCTTTCAATAGCAACAATGTTGAGCCAAGTATTTACTGAGAAAACGAAACAGTTAAGAGCCATAAAAAAGTTTCTAAAAATACAATTCAAAAATCGCATTAAAAAAATTAAATTTCCAGTAAATTGAAAGTCATGGATTTAATTTAGCTGCACTTTTAGGGGCTTACTATAAAGTGCAGCATTTCTAGTTATATGTGCGTAGTTAAATATTTAGGAGTGGTTCATAAGGTAAGTGTAGAAACATTTTAATATTTGTTTTTGATCTCGATATTGCGCTGAATCCAATGCAATGAATAAAATTTTAGGTCCACGTGAATTCATTAAATCAGGATCAACTGTATATTTTTCTTCTTTTTTAGTTGGGGAAAATCATGGGGTGACAATGGATACATGAAACTGCTGAGAAACTCAGAAAACTTATGTGGAATTGCTACCAGGGCATCGTATCCTATGGTTTGAGAGTTAATAAAAAAAATTTCTGCAGCAACGTTTTGCAGTTTATTTTTAATTTGCAAAATTACTAACGTATATCTTTTTTTGATTTACAAAATATTTTTTTGGAAACAATGAAACAGCAAAAAAAAAAACTTTAAAATAATTTGAACATTAAAAATTCTTATGAACTTTTAAAAAAAAACGTTTATTTATTTATTTATTTTTGCAAATAATTTTATTCGCGGTCGTTAGTTTGAATTTTCGAGAAAATAAAAAATTGGGCTGGTATTTATTTCTTTGCAATCTATAGATCAATGAGTTATTCATACAAGACAACGGAATTTTTTATGATAAATACTTTCTATTCGTGTTCATCTGTAAAATGTATCTTGTTTTCGAGTTACAACTTTTTCTGAAAACGACAATCAAGGATCGCTGTTTATACTGATGTGAAAATAACCTTATATATAATAGATTGAACAACAATTTTAATGATCAATTATATCTTGATTCTGAATAATAACTTTTTCTAAAAATGAAAATCAAAGAGAGGTTTTTTATTTATACAAAAAGTATCATTATATAAAACAGCAGGTCCTTCCCCTGCACGAAATGGCCGTTTCGAGTATCACTGCTTAGAGCAATGCTGCCTTTGGCAATATTGCTCTAAATCTTCAGCATTAATATTTAATAAATCCGTTAAAAAATCTTCCTCAGACTCATCTACAGTTACCAGGTCTACTCATCACTTGGCGATTCCATATAGTCTTCGATCTGCAGGAATTCACCTATTCGTGACCTTAAGGGCACGAAAGCCGTAATCGGCTATGCTGCACTAAACAGGGTGATAATTCGTGGGAGCATGTTATTTGGCAAAACTGTTAATTAGAACAATACTTCCTCATCAATCCATTAGTTTCAAAATATCGAAGTTTTTTTCTTTTTAGTGTTTTAAGTTGGCGCAACCAAAGCAAATGGATTCAATTTAAACTTTTTGTCTTGATAGAAATGTGATATTTAGCATAACAGTCAATTTTCGAATAATTACTAATATCAAAATAAAAATTTGTTACGTTCTTTTATTTTATCTATTAAAGAAACGTGATCCCAATTTGAGACATCCTGATAAAAACGTGTTAGTTAGCATTACGGTCAGTTAAACCCTGATTAATTATAAAATATCTAAATGATTCTTTTTTATTATCATTATCGCATAAAGAACACATTGGTGACTTGGTAAAAACGTTTTAATTAGCTTTACGATCCATAATAGCACAGATAACTGCATAGGATCGAAAAGAAACTTTTTTAGTTTTTATTTTTATCACATAAAGAACACAGGGTCAGAATTCGGTAGAAACGTGTTATTTAGCATTACTGACAGTTCTCAACTCATTACCCCTAATGAACGCCGATAATTACACATACCGAAATGAAACTTTTTTTTTAGTTTTTTATATCTTATAAGGAACACAAGGTCCAATTTTAAGACTTTTGTATTCGCAAAAATGTGTTAAAACATTATTATCGATTTGGCTAATTACCCCTAATTACTCAGATCATCATAATTGCAAGAGATATCCTCATAATTTCAAAATATCGAAATGAAACTTTTTTTTTTTAGTTTTTCGATTTATTTTGTAAAGAGCACGTGATCCAAACGGACGCTTCCGTCTTTTTTAAAACATATTATTTAGCATTACTATAATTAGTTCAATGACTCAGATAATTGCAAAATTATCGAAATCTATCTTTTTTAGTTTTTCTCATAATGTCATTAGGAACACATGATCCAAATTTAAGACTCCTATTATCATAAAAACATGTTATTCAGAATTACAGTTAATTCCTCCGATAATTATCAACTATCATAAACAATTGTAAATGAACGCATCATTTACAACTGTCCGCATAATCACCTATTTTCATTTTTCGGCAAAATGCCTTTATTCAAAAGATAAACTTGTCGTTCAGGATTTTCTTTCTCATGCAACCACACCATTTTCAATTCTAAGAATGTTTTTTATAACTTAACCTCGAGTAATTAGTTAGAGCAGACGATATTTTAAGTTACGAAATCAAACAGCTTAAAACGTTTTTTTTTTTTTTCATTCTGAGACATTTTTTTTTTTTTTTGTGGATTTAAATTTAGAAGTCACATGGAACATGGCTGCAATCTGGATTTTTTTTAAATTCTATTTAGTGTTTATTTCACCTTAACTCGCACTTTATTATTATTCATCATTTTACTTAATAAAAGTAAAAATTTTAAAAGATCGAATCGTAAGATAAACATTTTTGCTATATTATTTCAAAGAATGCATTTGTAAAGGACAAAACACAAAGTTTAAATGTAATCGATCGAATAGTTTCTGAGTGATCAATTTTTAAAAAAAACGCACATTTAAAAACTTGATGTCGCGAGTACTATTTGAATGATTCAGTTCAAATTTTGTCACTTAAATTATTGGAACTCTCTTTTACAAATTGAGGGTGCGCCCAACACCCTTCCATTATTTTGACAATCAGGAATGCAAATCTGACAAAAAATAATACTTGTGTTTATTCATAGAAAGTACCATTTTTCGTCTGATTTCGTGATTTGAATTATTGTCTGTTCTTTAACCTATCCAGAGTCGTAAAATTTTCCAACCATAAAGAATGAGTTTATAAAAATTCGATCACTACATCTATCAAAATTTCATCGGAGTGTTTAGTTTCTTATTTTGCATATACTGTACAGTGAGCCAAAAAAATGGACCGTCCTGAAACCTTTGATCTAATGATCGGATCGTATGTTTTAGGACTCAATCTTAATAGTTGAAATGGGTGACCTCAAATATGTTCATTCATTAATGCAGACGATATTGTAAATTACGAAATTAAGACACAAACAAAAACGTACTTTCTATGAATAAACATACCTTTTTTTTCAACGGATTCAGATTTCTGACTCCCAAAATATAGGGTCGCCATAGTTTGATCCAAACGATCCAAAGTTTGAACATCTTAATGTTAATTTTACTTTTTGCGAATTTCACTACATCTCGAGAACTTTTTTAAGATTCATTGTTTAAAAAATAGCTTCATTCTGCCAAATATTTAGGTTACATGGTTTTCCTTGGTGGATAAAGATGACTTGCAAATAACATGTTTCGATACATTTCTGAAACTTATTTTCGCAAATTCACCTATCTGATACGATGCTCTCTTTTTAAACAGACTTCATAAGGTCCTTAAGATACTGAAACGGTGTCACAAAAACTTAAAATATTCAATTTCATTAACTCAAAATATCGGGTCTAAATTTTAATTTTAAAGTTAAGGATAACTACATAGTTATAATATTGATACTACAGTTCTCTTACTCTTTTAAGGACCACATGAATCCTGTTACAATATTAAAATACATATGTTTACTTTTACGAGCATAAAACCCTCAAGAAAATACTGATCAAGACCCAAAATGTAAAACAGTATAACTGATGATAAAAATTTTATTAGCTTCAAAAAATATGAAGAGGGAAATAAAACTCGACATGTTTCGAGCATTCAAAAATAGGTACTCATTCTCTAGACTCGCCAGACTTGAATGACTAGTTACGTCAATTTTTGGACGCGCAAAACATGTTTACTTTTATTATCATCTATTTTTAAATCAATGAAGTTCTTATCTTTTCTATTTTGTTTCAAGGGTTTATTCATTTAGCAACAGAGTATATTTAATTACTTCACGCGATATTGAAATAAGTTTTACGTACGATAAAGGTATAGGTTCTTAGATTGAAAAAGTAATAGTTAGTCACTACTTTCTAAAAATATCGATGCAGTACAATTTCTTTTTTACTGCTGACCTTAATAACATTTTTCAAGGACATAAAAAAATTATGTTTGCAGTTTCAAAAGTTGAATGTGAAAATGAAATATCTCCTAGCACCAGGAATTGAAAGTAAATAGTTACAAGGACAGCTATGTCAAACAAGTTACCGTTTCCATCCTACTCTAAGTTGCTTGAAAATGCATTTTTTATTTATCTATTCCAAAGTTTATTCTAGCTATATTTTAAGGTATACTTTAGGCATACTTCGATTGAATTTATTTTCACACCTTAATTTGCTTAAAATTATTAAAAAAATTTGCTTAAAATAAGTTATTCAAGCTATATGATTTAATGCATTCATAGTATAATAGTAAACGGGGCATCCATCGCATATCCTTAACTTTGATACCGCTATCATTAAATTAATCGAATAAACTTAGATAAATGATAATAGTTAATTTTTTCTCGTTTTAGCTTTTAAGTAATAATATGTTTCGTCCAAACAGATTTCAATCCTGGATATAATGAAATTATTGAGAAGGTTCCTTGGAGCAATGTCATTCTTATCCTCCTCTTATGACGAAATATAGGAAAAATTGGTATTCACACTTTCTGTAAAAAAAAAAAAAAAAAAAAAAAAAAAAAAAAAGTATGTAACCTTTTCAGTATGTTTTTTTTCTTTAATCAAAATAGGTTCGATATATAATTCCGAATACATTTTTTTAAATCAGATTCCAAAATTGGCACGGCTTCGGAATCGTTTTACAATTTTAAATTTTCAGTATTTGCTGTTTTACAAAATAAGGCATTTTCCGAATAACAAATTGTGCTATAATAATATCTTGGGAATTGCGATAAAGTTGAAAAATAATTTTAACAAAGGTAAATTTTTTCAACATCTTTTTTTGAAAAGAGCAGCTTTCTTAAAGTTAACGGTGTAATATATAAGTTTAAACGTCAAAATAAAATTGCGGTTCGAGTTAGTTCATTTAAAAAACAAATCAAATAGTTGTGGTTTTTTGAGTTGTACTAATATGTATTTTCTTTTCACAAACCAAACAAACAAGAAACAATAAAGTAAATAAATAAATAATATGTTTTCTCAATCTTATAGAAAAGGGTGCATTTATTTACTATGATCAGTCAGACATTTTGCATTGAGTAATTTTAACATAGAAAATCTTCTTAAAATCTTATCAGCTAACTGGCTATAGTTCTGAGACTCGAAAAAG